GCCAGTTATTAATATCTATTAAGATGTTTGTGTGAAAGCTTGGTTTCCAAAGTCTTTCTGCATAATACCTGATCTCCTTCTTTCTGACACACACAAGTACACCATTTTATTATTTGTACAGGTCACTTTGTTTTCCTCAGTACATAATTTCAGTACCAATTCATTAATGTCAAAGCATAAAAGAAGCAACCGCACAGAAAGCAACAAAAGTTTGCTAAACCCAGAAGATAACAGCTGATAATTAAGGAAGTCCCATTATTTCTTGGCAAAGGAGACTGTGTTTTCAGAGACACATTCTTAAAGGGCCTCTCTTTAGTGTAGCTGCATAATTTGCATGAACACTATTTGCACAGAAAAATAAAGGTATTCAATATGGATAAAAGAAGCCTTTAATGTGCCCATAATTTCTGTACAATACCCATCCCATGCCCCTTCTTGTTGGCACAGCCTGTTCTTGTGACAGGTTCACAGAAGGGCCACTGGCAGATCTTTGATGGTGTGGAGAAAAGATTTGGGCTTTTGTTAGCACATACCTGCCCCCCATCTCCACCCTCAGTGTCATTTTATACTGATATCATTGCAGAAAAAAGACATTGTACTGATCTGAAACTGTGCATAAATCCTCTCCCCAAGAAGAAACCCTTCCTTTCCATCTTCCCAGGCTCACCTCTGCCTCCTGCCCTGGGAGTCCTTCACACCATGGTCTCCTGCTTACTGGGCAAGTCCATCCCAAACAGACTTTTGCATTTTGTTTGTGTTCCCTCACATTAGTGTTGCAGACACTGCCAGGCATGCAGGGGCAATGGAAAGTGTCCTGGTTTTTGTGGTTCCCCTGTGTCCTTCCCTTTGGCTGTTTCCAAGTGCTGTTCAGCAAGACTGAGCCACAACCTTACACTGAGATGAAAGTCTGCTAGCATGTGGAAAAAGGCATGTTGCTTGGATGAAGCCTGAAACAGGCTCACCAGTTTCTAGTACTTGGATCCTGTATATCCACCCCTGTAGCACAGTGGCTTTGCTTCTGTTGAGACTCTCAGAGAGCAATTACAGCCCCCTGTTGTTCCTAAGTCTGATGTCACTACCTCCCAGCTCCCAGCCACAACCTGTGGTCAAGGTCTGTGGTGGATGGTTATGGCCTCACATGGAGATTTGATCAAAGATGGTCTAATTCAAATGACAATCAGAAGAGATGAAAGGTGTTTCACTGGTAGACATTTCGGAAAAAATACTGCTTGAAGCAAAACTGTTTTACTCTGGCAAAGGCTCATAAAGTCAGGACTGTACCTCACATGAGGTATAGTCCTGCCAGCAGTCCACACAATACTGCTACAGCAGTTCCCAAGTCACCAAGAAGTGATAAATGACACAGATTTTTCTGCATGTAGAGAAAATCTTGCATTACTTATTGAAAAAGATTTTTAGACAAGATACTCTCTACTGACAAATTGTGGGCAAGATCTGATTTTTCATTACAGTGTGATATCAAATGGAAAATCTTCCATTATGCCTATTCCTGAAGGAAAAATAGATGTTCTTCATGTCAATACATGGCCTGAGTCCTAGGTCCTGGTTACATTTTACCAACATTGCTACAACAAGAAAACTCCCCAAGTGTGCACAGAGCTTCAAAATCCTCCCAGGGGCACAAGAGTCATAACCACTGCATCCCAAGAAGTTAGAGCAGAGAGCTTGTCAGGAGTTGGCTACTTAGCCTACTTAACACTGCCAGCCTTAGACTGAGGGATCATCTAACAGGTTCAAGGACCAGACTTGGCCTGGCAGTCTGTCAAGGGGGAGGAAGGAGGGTGGTGTGTCTTTACCTGGGACAGGCTGTATGGGGAGAACAACAGGATCTTACAGGGCTTTGTCAGTTCTGAACCCAGCAGAAGCAGAAGTTCATCTGCCACACAGCAGGGCTAATTCCCTGCTGCTACACTGGATCCTTTTTGATGTAAACCTGTCCTTTGAAGGTGCTGTCTTCTGATGGAGCTTCCATTTTGTTAAGTCAGCTTTGTCCATTTGCAGTTCAGGGCTGTGCTTTCATGGCTGCTTTAAGTTCTTTGACTGCAGCTGGTGCCCATGACATGGTGATGGCAAAGCTGATGCTCTTACTGCCCTGTGGACATGACTGTGGGGTATCAGAAGTAGTTTGCCTGATGTGGAATAAGAATGCAGTGGAGGAAACCCCCACTGACAGTGGCATATCACTGGGAAAAGATACTAAATGTACAGCCTAGAAGCTGGCATATGAGGCAGCTCTGAAAATTTCCTTAATAAGTGTTTATGGCAGGCAGAAACAGGTTATGGCAGGGAGTTCCTGTCCCAGCAAACCTGGCTGAATCAGGAAGGAGTTCTGGGCTGCTGAGGTTTCTCTCAGCAGTCTGATGGTACAGGGGCCCTCTCAGCCTGGTTTTATGGCAACACAGTGATGTCAGTGAGCAATTGCACCTACACAGACAGCACCATCTAACCAGCCCCTCCACCAGAAACCCTGCTTCCCTTGAATGTCCAGCTGCTTGATGTGTTTCCTTAGGAACACAGAGCAGGCACTTGTGTTAAATTCCCACCCCTGAGCTGTAGGAGAAAATCCTATCCATCCACCCCGGAGCTAAGGTTTGGATTAATCTATTACAACAACTCTTTCCTGTTCATTTCCTGTTGAGCAACAGCCTAAACACCCTGACCCAAAGGCAGAAAAGAATGCAAATTATTACTTCCCCTATTACATGGGAAATACAAAGAGGACAAAAGGTGAACTTCACCCCTGTGCTGAAGGTCTGAAGATCACCATAAGAAGACTGTCTCTGAGTCAGAATGATTCAGGCAACAAGGTAAACAGCAAATTCCTCATAAGGGCCAAAGAAAAACATCAGCTATTTAATTTCCTGATTATCTGACTTACTCAGTTAACTACATCAGATGCAGTCACGCATTCAGTGCTTTCAGTACCTTCCTACCCTACCACTGCACAAAATTGCTGCAGACCCAGTCTCCAGCTGATGAGATCACTGACGTGTGAATTCATGGAACAACTGGGAAAGTCAAGCACTCTCACTCTCTGACTTCTACACTGGGATCCATGACCCTGGGAAATGCTTGTTTCTTGTAACAACACGGCTGGAATATTTACTCATTTGAACTCATCAGAGTGTATTAAAAGAGAAATATAAATGCTCCTATTTTTTGGTACACAAAAAGTTTTCCCAACATAGGAGACACTGTGGTCAAAATTGGTTTCATATGTAAAAATAACTACTGCTATTTACAGATAACATATCAAACCTGTTATATTGCCATTCACAGATATACATGCTTATCTTTGTCAGAACAGTGCAAAAACTGCTCTTACAGTATGATTTTATTCAAGATACTCACTCTAAGCTCATTGCCACATTATACATGGTATCATGTGAAATCAGCTGTTCTATATTGCAAATGGCATGAAAAATTATATATATATATACACCATTTCCCATTGTGTTAATATTTTTCCTTCATAGTCAAAACACTGACTTTCTTACAAAAAAAAATCTTATAAGTTAGTTGCTTTTTCAGCTGGCCTATAGTGAGTCCTGCCACCAGAAAGATAATTAGCATTATTTTGCTGTTGTTTCTGTTGTCCATCCACTACACAGTAAAAGAAAATGACACTTATTTCTAATGGCCATGGGAATGCATGTTTAGATATCTTCACAAGAAGTTCCACCTCAACATGAGGAAGAATTTCTTCATGTTGAAGGTGGCAGAGCACTGGAACGCTCTGCCCAGGGAGGTCGTGGAGTGTCCCTTTCTGGAGACATTCCAAACCCACCTGGACACGTTCCTGCTGCAGGTGACTGGATGATCTTCAGAGGTCCCTTCCAACCCTAACAGTTCTGTGGTTCTGTGACTGCACTTGTGGTATATGCTAGTGAACAGGAATTACAATTCCATCTGTTCCACCCCTACATATTCCCGCTGTGTAAGGAAGTCTGGACCTGGAGGAGATGGCTTGTTGCATCAACAGCTTTAAACGTGCAGATTTGAGGAGGTGAGAATGGTTTTGCCTTCAATACCAGGGCACTGGAGTCATGTGGAAGGTGAAGAGCACAAAACCCGTAACAGTTCTGTCACTGAGAGGTCAACTTTCCTGAACGCGTGTTTCTCACATTCAGCACTGAAGACCAAGGGAATATACAGTATGCAGGAACAGAAATATACATTGTGGCACGTGAGGAATTTATACATGGAGCAGTAGAAGACATTAGGGAGGATGTGACAAACTGCTGAAGTGTACAGGCGGTGGTTCAGAGTATTTGCCTGTCGAGAGTTAAGACATAAATTAGCACTGATGTTTCACGACTGTCTCTATACCCAAGGAGTAAAAAGACACTGACAGGGAATGCGTACCTAATGTGACCTATAAACGCTGATATTTTCCATCCTTGCGTGTGGAACCACGGAAAGGTGCTGGATTCTGGATTGTTTTTCGCGGACGGACGGACGGACGGACGGACGCCGCCAGGCTGTGGCCGCCCGCGGGGCTCGCCGGCACCGCCGGGAGAGGCTGTCAGAGCGCTGCCGCCGGTGCCACGACCGCCGGTGCCGGGCGGGCGCTGCCCCCTCGTGGGGACCGGCCCGTACAGAGCAGCGCGGAGCGGCACGCCGTGCGGAGCGGGCACGGCCAAACGGGGCGCGCGGCGCTGTCCGCGGGCACGGGCACGGGTACGCGCACCGGGCACGGGGCACGGGCACAGCGCGCGGGTACGCGCATCGGGCACGCGCACGGGACGCGGGCTCACACCCCCGCACCGCCCACAGCCGCGCGACCACGGCGCGCCTCGCGGCAACAGCGATTGGTTGCGACGGGGGTGGGGGTAAACTGACTGGCCAATGAGAGAGGCCCGCGGCACCGGCGAGCCAATGGGCAGCCGCGCCTGAGGTTCGGCGCGTCGTTGCCCGGCAGCCAATGGGAGCGCGGCGCGGGTGAGAGGTCGGAGGTGGGAGCGCGGCGCCCCCGGAACGGGAAGCGGAGCCGGCTCCCAGCGCCTCCCGCTGTCCCGCCCTCGCACGAGGGCTTCCCGCGCGGGCCCGCGCCGCTCCCGCCATGGTGAGCGGGAGCCGGAGGGGCGGGAGCCGGAGGGGCGGGAGCCGGGCATCTACCGGCACCGGGCAGCGGGGTGGGAACCGGGAGGCCCGGGAGCCGAGAGGGGCGGGAACCGGGCGCTGGGAGGGGCGGGAGGCGCTCCGTTACCGGCCCGGGGCGGGGCGGAGCGGAGGGCGGACGGGCGGCGCTGACCGTGTGCTTGCCCCGCCAGAGCCTGCCCCTGAACCCGAAGCCGTTCCTGAACGGGCTGACGGGGAAGCCGGTGATGGTGAAGCTGAAGTGGGGCATGGAGTACAAGGGCTACCTGGTCTCCGTGGACGGCTACATGAACATGCAGGTGAGGGCCCCGGCGCTGGGGGTGCCCGAGCTGGGGGTGCCCATCCCCGGGATCCCCGGGCCCGGCTGGATGGGGCTCCGGGCAGCCCGGGGTGCGGGAGGGATCGGTGCCGTGGCGGGGCTCGCACTGAGCTGAGGGTGATGCCCGAGTCGGGACCTTTCCCGCCGCCACCCCTGCGTTCCTGGGGCACGGCCGGTGTCCCGGTGGGAATGCGGTAGGAGCGGCAGCGGGGCCGGTCGGGCACCCCCGGCCGCTGCAGCCGGGCCCGGGCCCGGGGCTGGGGCACAGCCGTGATGGGCTTTGTGGAGCCGCTTTTATTGCTGCCATTCTGACATTTTTATCATTTTCCTTTCAAGCTTGCAAACACAGAGGAGTACATAGACGGTGCGCTGTCTGGACACCTGGGTGAAGTGTTGATAAGGTAATTGGGATATTTATTTATGGTGGAGGAAGGCTCTAAATCGCCTCACCACTTGCATGCAAGCTTATACTTGTGAATGTTGTGTTTCTTGCCAAATTAAGATGCCTAGTGTAGCTGTTAGAGGAAGGCAATGAATGTGTCTTTTATATCAAAGTCCCTGCTGAGAGGAGAAAAAATGAATTTTTGAATATATTTAAAGAAGTATTTACTATCCCCTTTGTGGTGACTGAATACTTTTATTTTCCACATTATTGTATATCTGGGAGTCCTTGGGCATTGTAAACTAGCGCACTGCAGCTGGAAACTTCTCATATGGTTTGAAGTTAAATTTGACTGTAATTTTTCACCTTAAAGTAAAACTTTTTTTTGTGCATCATTGTCAAAGAGTTATTACATTTATGAAGTTGCACAATTAAATGTACTATGTGGAAAAGGTGTACAAGGTCAAGAGCAGCATTTTGTTCTGTAGAATTTGAATGTTGCCAGGCTACTTTCAAGCAGAAAATGTTTAAAGCATGTTTTATGTGGGGAAAATCACAACGTTTATAGCTAAGGGAACTCTTGGTTCTATTTACAGATGCAATAACGTTTTGTACATCAGAGGTGTGGAAGAAGAGGAAGAAGATGGAGAAATGAGAGAATAGGTGTTTTGTATTTCTGGAAATAAACCTTTTTTTTCCTTTTCTGTTTTTCATACTTTTGTAGTAAGATGTTTATTTCCATTGTGTTTTGGTATGGGGAATGCAAACCCTTTTAAAGGTCTTTGATGTTTTGTTGGTGTCCGAAAAAGCTAATGCTGGAGGAACAACAGGTAATTGTTTCAATGTAAAGTTGAAAATATTGAAATGAGAAGTGAGTATTTAAAAAATACCAGTTATCTTCCCATCTGAAGTACAGGAAGAATTGGCAGTGTCTGCATTTTACAGTTTGTATGTCATGACTATTTAAATACATTTCGTCTTTAAAACTGATTATAAAACTTTTGGAATTAGCTGGGAAGATTTCACTGCAAGTGAGGTGTGGAGATCTGTTAGACCCCAGTTTCTCTCAGAAATATTCTGCTGCTTGGAGTCAGGAAGTTTGAAGTGTGGCTGTCTGGTCATTAAGGAAGGACAAATGTGTGTCACCTTAGCAGCCACACAGACCAAACCTCCTGGCAGATGCAGAGCTCCACAGACCTGAGTGGCATTACTAGAGCTGGGACAGGACTGCAGAATGGGAGTGTGCTCTGTGAGTCTCTGCTGAGGAATGGAAAGGTGCTGTGGTCCTCCTCAGCGTGTTGTGGAGAGGAGATGTTCTGTCTAAAAGCTGCGCAGGCTGTGGCTGCAGCGCGTGCAGGGGGAGTGCAGCTCTCCAGCCCTGCTGCTGGGGTCACACATCTGTCAGACACAGCTGCAGTGGGCAGGGCTGGCTGCCCGGGGCTGTGCTAGGGTAGAACACTGCTTATGAGAACTGTGGCAAGGACACCAGCCTGTCAGCATAGATCCTGCAGAGAAATACCTCCCTGTTTCATGTTGGAAGTCATCCCTGGAGCTATCTGTGTGTTCCTTTAATATTGACATATGTAAGTTTCCATAAAGAGTGAAAAATCATTTTGGATGTACTTGTGCAGGTGTTTCATTGCTCAAACCAGACCCTTTCTGGCAGTGTGGAGGCTTCACAGCTCTGCTGGAGTTCCTTGCAGTCCCATTGGGAAGGGGAAAAAAGCTTTTTAAGCTAAAATCAGTACTATCACAAGGATAATCACTATGGCAACCACCAAGCTTCAGCTCTTCTGGGTAACTGGGAAGACCAAGCTTATGCTGAACCCCTTCTGTGTGCAGAGATGGATGTGACTGTTCCTCAGGTGTATCTGTGGAAGGATGTCTGGAGTTGTGCTGTACAGCCAGAGTGCTCACTTCCTTTCCTGAGGGTAAAGGAAATGTCTTGGCCTTGCAGAGAGAGCTGCCTCCTGTAATCCACAGCACTGCCTCTGATTCCCTTCCTGCAGGGTTAGAATTCATCAATACAGCACGCCAGTGGTAGTTGGTGAAATGCTGATTTTTGTGCTAGGAAGAATCTTCACACAAGGAAAGTCCCGTAGCAGTTTAAAATGAGTAGAAACCTTTGTAAGAAAATGAAAAAACAAGCCAAAGCACAAAAGAAGCAAGGGAGAAGCATTTTGTGCATAATGGCCTTAATGTGGCAGATGGTTCCTAACTTGAAACTGAGCTATTGATATTCCAGGACAGACAGCTTGTACCCATCATCAGGAAAGCAGTCACATCTGGTTTTGCTGGGAGCTGTTGAGCTCCAAAATTAATCAAAGTAGATAGACACAGCTGGTGAATATCTAGATTAAACCACTGTCTAGAAGAAAAGTAAAAAAAAACCCAAAAAAACCAAAAAACAAACTGAAAATCTCAAGTAAGATGAATAATAGGAAAGACAAGTGGACTTACATTTTGGAAAAGCAAGAACTCAAACAAGAAAACAAAGGTGTTCTTATGTAATGTCTCCTTCTTTCAGACAAATAAGCTGCTTTATGGAGTCTTGAGTTTTCATCCTCAACACAAGTGTGATCCTTTCACATAGCTTCATATTCTTTTGAGATGCTTTGTTATACCTTTTTTTGACAGTTACATTCCTTAGACTTCTAATTCAGACTATTTTACTTTTGCATAGCACCAGGCATCAAACACTTAAACTAAATAATACCTTGGTGGATAAGTTGATAACTAATCTTAGCTGCGCTCCAAAAATGAAGGCATACGTTTCTCCTTGCTACCATCAAGTGTTCCATTCAGTTCAGTGGAAGAACCCATGCAGGCAAAGTCAGACAACAATTTAAACATGTGCTTAACTTAGATCCTTGTCGTAAATGATGTGGAAAGCATTGCAATGCAAGTGAAGATAAGGTCCTCTGAATATATCAGAGTAATTTGAGCTGGTCCTTAGTTTGTATGGAGTAAGCCCCATGAATACAGATTTTTTTTAACTCTGGAGCAAGTCCAAAAGGCAGAAGAACTTGAAACATTCACTTACATGTGTATTAAAGACAAAAATAAAAGGGCTTGTGATTTTTACATGTTAAATACAAGGTACATAAAGTAACTAAAAAGAAAAAATTGCTTTCATGTGATTAAGTTGTTCTGATTGTTTATGGGATAAAAGAAATCAGAGATAAAGTAGCAGGACACTCAGGAAAAGACTATGCCCTGCAAAACCACTTATTTAATATGGTGAAAAGGTGGTCAAGAAGGGCCTAGAAACAGTGAGGCATGACACATACCACGTGTAGTTTCGAGCTTATTTTTGTGTTTCTCATTTGGGTATTAGGTTGTTTGCTGTTTATTTTTTACGTGGAAACTTTTCCATTCCTAGGAGTACCCAAAAAAAGAGTACACAACCTACCTGAGAAGATGCTGAATCCTTATTATTCCTTAGAGAAACGGTGCTGCACACTCCAGTTCTGTGTTGTGCAGCTCACAACACAGAAAGCTCATCTGAGCAATTGCAATGTTTCCATGGTTTGAGAGATGCAAGGTTCTTCTACACTGAAAAACAAATAAAATGCAGAATTCACTTTTACTTTTGTAAAACTATGGGAGAAGTATTTATAAATGTGATGTTAGCTCAATCCAACATGAGGGAAGTCAAGGGTACGTAACAGATTTGCAATTTAGTTTGGATCTATTCCACATTTGCAAGTCACTTTCACCCAAATGATGCATTTTCTGTGTTTGATCCTGGGAGTTTACTGACCTCTGCTGCTTTTGTAAATAGGGAAATAGCAATCAGTAAATTTCACTAGTAATTTAACTTGTGTCAAGGCATGCATAGTGTCCCCTTTCAGGACATTTCATCGTGCTATGTGTATTATTGGAAAGGTCTGGTTAGTGGATGAAAAAAGCTAATCTACAAATTTAAGGACAATGTAGCCAATATTTGATTTGGACTTATATCTAACTTTGGGCTTTTTTTTTTTTAATTACAAGTTGTTTACAAGAACAGCTACATGCTAATGCAGCTCTGACAGTGTATTTGAAAATATGTCCTTGAGGAATAACCATATCATATTCTCATGTAAAGCACCAGCAAGAAGAGATGAAATCTCTTAAATCAATAACCTGATACTCAACTTTTTTATCTCTACTTTTCCTGGGATTTTTTTCTCCCATTGAAAATGCCACATTTAAAAATTACTTTCAAAAAGAACTTTCACTGGAACTTTAAGGTGATTTAAAAGCTCTAAATTTAAGAAATGTGGGCAGGGTTCCTTTAGCACTCAAGAGTCCTCTGTTTACATCCAGTGAATTCTGCCAAGATTTTAAAATACAGCTGAGTATTTAGAATCTGTACTATTTGAATCAAACTTGAATTTCCTGAGGATGCAACCTAAAAACCATTCCTGCACCTACCTTTCTGGGCAGTATTATTAAAAATAGGTAAGCACAGCATGTCAGAAACCTGACTGCAGTGGATTGACCTTTTTTCATATGCGGATCTGTTACAGAGAAAATTCTTCTCCAGAAAAGAACCAGGGCACATAGAAATACACAAGCACATCTGTAAATTTTCTGCAAACAGAATGTAAGTCTTAGAACAAAATGCACTCCTAGCTTATGAAGCATAAAATCTTCACAGATTCTCAGGTTTTAAATCAGAATCTGACCTTGAATCTCAGAGAAGCCCAGAGCACAAAACTGATTTTTTCTTTTAAAGTGTAACAGCACAGCTCACAGGTGTGTTGATCTTGCCTTTTTCTCTCCTCCACTGCAGCATGCTGTGTTTCATTCCTGACACAACAGCTCTCAGCCCACCACCCCTGCTTAGGCCTCCCCACAATGGGATGTCCTTCTGTGCTTGTGATGATGCTGTTGCCAGGTTCCTCTTTGATTTCTGCTTTCAAACATATTGTGATGCTGCTGGGGAGCCGCAGTCAGCAGCAGAACTCCTGGGAGTGGTAAAGCACCCTCTACCAGCTCTCCTGTCAGTCTTCTGCACGCCTACATGGGAGCTCAGGAGGAAGACAAAGGTTCTGTCGTGGTACAGCATTAGGCCAGGGGAGAAGAATCACAAGGTAACACCCAATTTTACTATAGTTTTACTCAATTTTCAGGTTTCATATTAAATACAAGTTACTGTGCTTTAGATGCAAATCTTGCCTCATCTGCAAACAAGTTCACCAGAAAGGTTCATTCCAAGAGCCAACATATCCAACTGTTTCTGCTGGGCGGGAATATGTGTATGCACATAGATGTGTTACCAGCATTTAAAATCGATTCTCTTTCTAAAAGAAAATAAGGTGTCTGAAGAAGATTGCCATGCCGGGAGAAGTGTTTGAGGGCCCACTTGTTTAGAAAGACACTCCATTTTCCAGCTGGGGAATACTGGATTCCTTAAGACGTTGTGAATATGTGAAGAGAGAAGAATACCAAAAAATCCGTGTTGGGAGGAAATTTGCCCCCTGATTCTCCCATCCCCCGTTCTACAGGGGGCAGCAGAATCGCACAAACATTTCGTTATTGGAATCGGGTGAATTAATATCTGCCTGGATAAATGAATGTCTGCCTGAACATCTGGCGCGGTGGGAGGTGTTGCGGTCCGTCGGAAGTTGTTGCTGGGATGCGGGCAGGGTGTTTGGATTAACTGGAGAGGCGATGGACGCCGGGGAGGGGGCAGGTGGGCAAACAAACGCTCCCAAATCAGAGGCTCCTATTTTCTTGGCAAAGGGAAATCTCCAGGTGGTGCTGTGAGGACTCAGAGACCGGGAAGCCCCAGCTGGAAAACCCGGTGCTTGGGAGCTGCTCACGAACCAGCGCGGTGCACGGGGGCTGTCCGTGTTATCCTGGACCGAATCCCGCAGAGCATCCCGCGCCGGGAGCAGGATGACCGGGCAGGGCCGAGGCCGGGGCCGGAGCCAGGGCCAGGCGGGCGGGCCGGGGGCGGGAGGGCCGCTCGGCCGCGCCCCCCGGGACTTTGAGCCCGGCAGCCCCGGCGGTGGCACCGGCGGCCGCGGGCATGGCGGGGCGGCAGCGGCACCGGCTGCTGCTGGAGAACGCGGAGCAGCTGGTGCTGGTGTGCGGCCGGCGGGAGCCGTACCTGCGGCGGGACGGCGCCCACACGCTGGCCCTGCTGCGGGCCGCCAGCCTGGTGGTGGGGCTGTGAGTGCTCCCGGGGCTCCGCTGGGAGCGGGGCTGGCGGGAGGGCATCCCCCAGCGCGGTCCGGGATTCCCGGGATCGGCCTCGAACTCCATGGGAGAGCAGTCCCAAAGGGCTGCGGCTTCCCGGGGCGAGCGATAGCAGTGGGATTTGAGTGCCCTGCGGATAGACGCTGTGTGCTCGCTGATCCGCAGGAGGAAAGCAGTGTTACCTAGCAGGAATTAGAGCGGAACAGTACCAAGGTGTCATCCAGAGGGATCTAAGGAGAGGACAAGCGTTATGGCAAACAGCTTGAAACGCATGGCATCAGCCCAGTGTTTGCTGTGCCTCTGTAATATGGGCGAACCACCTCCACGTGTGCATCTCCAGTCCTCCTGAAGGTCCTGCCCCTCTTGTTCCAGGAGCTCTGTCGTCGAGCAGTTGGCTTTTGAACAGGCTCACACACTCTTTGGTCACTGTCTGTGTGTTGCAGGGATGGCTGTATCAAAGCTGTGGGCCAGGCAGATGTCATTCGCAATGAGTTTTCAGAAGCAACGTTTGAAAGGATAATTGACTGCTCTGGGAAGTGCGTGTTGCCAGGTAGGTGTATTTTTGTGATACAAAGGATAGCACTGCCAGCAGGTCAAGGCACATGATCCTGGTACTCAGCACTGGTGAGACACATCTGGAGTGCTGTGTCCACTTCTGGGCTCCACAGTACGAGAGAGACATGGAGCTGCTGGAGTGGGTAATCTAGAAAGATTATGACAGGTTTGAAACATCTCACGAGGAGAGGCTGAGAGAGTTTGGTCTGTTCAGCCTCAAGAAGAGACAACTGAAAGGGGGCATCATCAAAATCTGTGAGGATCTGAAGTGGGGGATGGCCACAGGAGGTTTCCAGGCTCTGCTTGGTGGTGCCAAGCAGTAGGACAAGAGGCAATGGGCAGAAACTGATGCACAGGAAGGTCCACCTGAACACGAGGAAAAACTTTACTGTGCAGGTGACTGAGCACTGGAACAGGGTGCCCAGAGAGGTTGTGGAGTCTCCCTGACTGGAGATATCCAAGGGTTCTTTTGGGCTTCATGGTGGAGCTCTGTCTCCTCTTGTTTTGTCTGTAGATCTGTTCCTCTGTATCGTAGATCCCCACAGGTAGCTGACCCACAGAAGGACTCTTCAGATTCACTGCTCTTTTCTGTGCTCTCTTAGCCCATCAGCCATTCGGCCACAGGGCTCAATCTGTCCATCCTGACCTGTGAAGGCAAAAGGGATTTAAGTCACAAATTCTCCAGCTTTGCCTGATAAAAAATCCCCAAAAGATGGGCAAGTCTATTGCACATTAAACTCTCCAAGTGGTGTTAGTACATGAGCTGTCATGTGGGATCTCAGTCTCTCAGAACTGGGGTGCAGGGTGAGCAAGACCCCCCCTGGGGGGCTCGGGAGTCCTGGAATGCTGCCAGAGATGTCTGGTGGCTGGACTTTGATCCCACATGGGAGATGACATCAGTATGAGGACGGGAGGATTTCACTGGGGTGAATGGTGAAGGGACAAGTTAATTGGAGTGTGAGATACAGGGTTTAAGATCCCTGTACAGGGGGGTCTAGAGAGGCAAGATGGAGGGATTGGGGCGTGCCCTTCTCCTTCTTCTTCTTCCTCTGGGCCTCCATCTTCTGTGGTGATGTTGGCACTCCAGGATTGGACCTTACTAGGGGAACACTGGTTAATAAGGGTAGAGGGTATTGGAGAAAAATGATAAATATTGTATACGTAACTCCGGGTATAAAGATAGGTGACCGCCCCAGGGGCTTTCAGTGTGTGCCCATGGCTGACTGCTGAGCAGAACTCTGTCAGGCCAAGAGAAAATCTTTTAGATAAGCAATTAATAAACACCGAGACCGAGAACAAATCTGAAGCTTCCTCTCGTCCTTTCGATCCCGGGGGCCCAAGGCCATCTTTGGGCTTTTCCCCAGACCATCTGAACAGCCCAGAAATCCCACACTGTCAGATCTGTTTCTCTTACAGTGGCCTTGCCATTCAGCACTGTCAGTTTCAGAGCTTGTAGAAAAGGCTCCCACTGTAATAAATGTTGCTAGACAAAGTCTAGTGTGCTAAGCCCAGCCTAAGCAGTCTGCCTTTTTTTAAAGAGTACAGGCTTAAAGTCTAATGAATTCTTTCAAAGTTTGCTATTTATGCTTTCTTCCGCAGTTTGAAAACTTTATCAAAATACCATGACAAACTCAGCAACTGATGCACTTACCTGGAGACCTTTCGCCTAAAGTGTCAGACCTAAAAAAAAATGAAAGAAAATTAATAGCCTCCGAAGAAAATCCTAGATATTTGGCTGGTTAGATTTTTGTTTCTCTAACCAATAGAGACTTTTTAGGGGAGTTTCTGCTGTCTATTTAATTTGCTTGCATGTTCATAACATTTTCTCTTACACAGTGAAGTAACTCAAGTGTACATTTACTTTGTTTTCTTTAGGCCTGGTAGATGCACATACACATCCAGTGTGGGCTGGTGATAGGGTTCATGAGTTTGCAATGAAGGTAACAGCATAAAATTACACAGATGGATTTGTCTTCCTCCTTTTTTTTAATGTATAACTGTTTCTACTTCCTAGTGACTCTCGTCTTTCTTTTACAGAAAAATACATAATTTCTGTCAGATAATCTACCCGAGGGAGAAGGGATGATTTTTGAATACTGATAGGCTGAGAGAGGAGTGTACCTGCATCCTTTGCAGCCACTATTGATATATTTTTGCATTAATTGAATCAATACAGGAGTGCCATCTTCTATTACTGTCTATGTCTTGATTTTTGCCTTCCTTTTTCTTTTCCACATAAATGAATTTTGAGCTAGAGATTGGTTTTCCCCTTGGACTTAGGGGAAGGCAAATCTTTGGAATAATTCTCTTTATGCTTCTTTGTGGTGGTGTTCACAGGGGTCCTAGGATGAGGGAAGAGACAAGAATCTTGACTCTGTGTTTCAGAAGGCTGATTTATTATTTTATTATATATATTATGTTAAAAGAAAATTATATATTAAAACTAGAATAGAGAATAGAGACAGGATTCATCAGAAGGCTAGCAAGGGATAGAAACGAATGGAATGATAATAAAATTTTGTGACTGACCAGAGAGTCTGAGACAGCTGGACTGTGATTGGCCATTAATTAAAAACAACCACATAAGACCAATCAAAGATGCACCTGTTGCATCCCACAGCAGCAGATAATAATTGTTTACATTTTGTTTCTGAGGTCTCTCAGCTTCTCAAGAGAAAAAATTCTAACGAATGGATTTTTCATAAAATATGTCTGTGACGCCGCTTCTTGCAACATTTTTTGACTTGAGTGGAAGGGAGAGAGAAGAAGAGGGGGAGGGAGGAAGAATTAAAGGGGATTTTTTTTCTCTCTGTCTCTCTCACTGCGAAGAGACCTCAAGGCACTTTGCAGTATCTCTTGGATGGAAAACACACTTGTTCATTGCTAATTGTATGGGGTGGTTTTTGTTTCTTTTCTTTAACCCAAGCTGGCAGGTGCGTCCTACATGGAGATCCACCAGGCTGGGGGCGGGATCCACTTCACGGTGGAGCACACTCGGGAGGCCACGGAGGCCGAGCTGCTGGCGGGGCTGCAGCGGCGCCTGGGCCGCATGCTCCGCGCGGGATCCACGCTGGTGGAGTGCAAGAGCGGCTACGGCCTGGACCTGCACACCGAGCTCAAAATGCTGCGGGTGATCGAGCGCGCGCGGAGATCCACCGACATCGGCATCTCCTCGACCTACTGCGGGGCCCACGCCGTGCCCAGGTGATGGGCTTCTCCTCCTCTTCCCAAGCACTGCTGCTTTGCTCTGGGAACCGGCGTCTTCTGCCCCGCTCCTCAAATACAACATGCCTGAAAAACAACAGCCAATGTTTATTTATAGGAAGCTCTCCTGAATTTCAGGGCAGCATTATTTAGTGACTCCTAAATGCTGGCATAGGCTTAGCTCAGAACCCCTGTCTCCAGCTGATGCTCACACTGATCATTACACAGAAAGTTCTTCTGCTTGCATTTGCTGCCATCCTTCAAGCTTGGTCTCTGCCATGAGATTTTATTTTGGCCAAATAACAACAGAAAATACCATATTTAATCATTATATAGCTCCATAAACAAAGTTTAATTATGCTTCCATGCAATGAAGACTTGCATGCAAGTCTTACAGCTGTGAGATGAAAATTAAACTGTGTTTAATCAATTATTCTGATGGTTCAAGTAGACATATCATAAAAATCCTTTCTCACTTCTGATTTTGATTTCGCTATGATGAAAATAACATCTTAATGTTATCAGATTTCAATGTATGAAGGAACTAATGAGGAGTTTTAGCTGGATATTTTGACATACTAAGTGGTAGGCTGCTGCAAGACAAGGCATGTGAGATGGAGGCAGGCTTATTTTGTGGCAGTATTCAAGAGATGTTTGTTAAAAGAAAAAAAAGCGTACTCCAAAAAAAAAACCAACCCACCTTTTCTAACATTCAAGAAAACATGACCTAGAAACTATTTTTTGCAATCTAATTCTTGTGTGTTTGGAGTAGAATGGTAAATTATCTTTTGTCAATCTAACTATGGAAAATGAATCCTGTATCATCTTCAGTAACTGGGAGATGGTTAAGAATAAAGTAACTAAAATTGTCTGAATGCAGCAACTGCTTCTTTCAGGAAGCTCTGCTAAAATTTAGAGGACTTAATGGCAAAATAAAATAGACTTTTCACCCCAAACTATATCTATATATATATTTCTTAGGCCTTCCTTTCTTCTTCCCCTAAAAAGCCTTGGCAGGATCTCAGTCAAAATCCTGAAAGATAGTTTTTCCCACCAAAATGCTTTGAGCATTTCTATAAACCAATGAAATAATTTCCAGTGTTTTTACAAACATACTAACTCTCATGTGTTAGGAAGACAGTTATGCTTTCTCATTCTCTCCACGTTTCTGTCCCCACTGATGCACATCAAGCATAACAAAATGTAGTAGTAGTAAGGATATTGTATTTTAAGTAAAGAGAAAAGGTAGTTGGGAGTTTGAGGAAATTTCTTTAAGGAAATACTGAGTTATCTGTATTTTTCAGTTTGGGTCTTTTAAAACCATCTCTTCTGTTTTCAATCAAATGTTTGTGTCTAGACTATTTTGCTTGAATTTTATGCTACCCCTCAAACTTAGACTCTGGTTTGGGTTGTCATTTTGACCAGGAGGAAATCTGCAGTTCTTCCTTGGTCCCTCCAGTCATCATTTTGAATCAAAACTCATGATATGGAAATGTCTGATTTAAAAAAATCATTCTTTTTTATTGTTAAGAGATTATTGGGCCATTTTCCACTTTATCAAGAAATTTTCCAAGTGTTTTCCTGAGCAGAATTCTTCTGCATTAAAACAACAGCAGTTTTGTTTTGTGTTTTGGGGCATTATATGTCTTAGTGTTTCCCTCTGTTTTGTCTTGGCTCTGGCTCTAATCTTCCAGCCCAAATTCCTCCAAAGGCTCGTGAGTAGACAGAGAAAAGGGAGAAGCCTTGGCAGGGTCAGAGGCTGAGCAACCCTGATGCCTGTTATGGCCTTGTTTATAAATTCAGCCAGAATTTGGCTTCTTGAGTTGATTCCATTGCAAGGCTCCCAACTCAGCCTCATGTGGCACTCCACAGTGCCAGTGTCTGCCTGCCTTGCAGTGCCTGAAGTGAGCATTCAGGTTGTCAGGCATTTAGCTGCTGTACATCCCTTGTCCTTAGACATTAAAATTGGAAAATGCTAACTCAACTGCATGTTTTGGGATTATTTGCTCTTTCTGAGGCATTTAGTGATCTCTCCTGGATTATTTTTATGTAACAGAGGATTTATAAATGGTTCTGACTTTTGCAAATCAAACCTTGGGAAGACCCTCTGATGAGAAACAGTTTTCTGTCCATCACTCTGAGTGATGTAAAAGGAGGAGAGGTGAATTAAAAATAATGACTTATACTGCATATCCCCTTTGAGCTTTGATATTTGCATAAAAGTATTGTATGGATACCATTTAACACACTTAAATTCTCACTTACATATTTCAAATAGTTATATTTTAGGATACAGTATAAAGAGGTCAGAACATATGAATAGGAAAGCAGAAAAAATTGGTTCAAAGTACCCTATATCTTTGTTAGCATCCAGGATGCCAACCTTTTTAAAAATACTCAGTAATACAATCTACTTTTCTTTGAATGGAAAGTAACTCATGTTGGTGAATACATGAATTACCATGGGACCTAATTTTTTGATTTGAATTTTTTTTAAGGGACTCAAATTTACATAATTTCCTAAGTAATTCAGTAATTGCATGTATGGCTAGAGTGTGTGCCAGACTTCAAGGATGTTACTCACAGGGCTCTGTAACATTTTCTTTTTGTTAGAGGGAAAACTGCTGCTGAAGCCACAGATGACATTATCAATAACCACCTTCCTAAACTGAAAGAACTCAAGCTAAGTGGTGAAATACATGTTAACAATATAGATGTCTTCTGTGAGAAGGGAGTCTTTGATCTGGAGTCTACAAGGAGAATACTTCAAGCTGGAAAAGATATAGGGTTACAGATTAACTTCCATGGTGATGAACTGCATCCGATGAAATCTGCTGAGGTACGTCTTGCTTAACATTCATTTTCGCTCCTGTGGGAGCCCAATCTGTGAAGGAGTTGGAGTTTTCAAAACTGAGTTTGTCTTTTCTAAGACTTTATGAAATGACCATCTGATAGAAGCAGGTGCCAGGGAGAGCAGTCCATGTGCAGCTTTGGAGGTGAGGACGTGGGAGGAGGCCTTGACCTCTGGGACTAACGTGCACTGGCTAACCAAACATTGACTTTGCTTATCTTCCACATGGGATACACATTGGGAAGGTGGATATCCATGCACCCAAGAATGACAAAAACATGGTTTCTATGCAACTTGAAAAATATTTTTTTTTGTTAAATATCCTGTTAGAAGCAACAAGCCAAATTGCAGTGAGCACACTCAGCGGTCTCATTACTCAGATATCAGTTTATCTGAGCACACCCAGAGAGGTGGTTTAGTCAAGACTAGGCTCCCAAATATCTTGATAAAGAAAGTCCCTTTGACACCATGTTTCACCATCATTTAAATATTGACTCCTTCCTCTGGGGTCTGCCCAAGCTGTGTATAAAAAAAACCCAACTAAACCAAACCAAAAACTTGGTTGATCATAAAAGCCTATTTGACTTCCCCATTGTAGACAGCATTTAGTTTTGTGAACCATTTTCTGATGGATCATTTATGAACAGGAGTTGATAATGTTTTCATCCATGGCTCTCAAATAGTTTATGTTTTAGGCTGGTAAAAAGACCACTGAAGGTGTGCTTCTACTCTGTGGGTGGATAAAGTGATCAACTTTTCCTGCAGTAAATTAACAAATATTTTGTATCTGTATTCTAACTGTTCTTCTAAGCATTCTTTATTTTTTGTCTTCAGGTATATTTTGCATTAATAGTGAATTTTCAAGTTGTTAAGAAACAACTTTTTAAACTGAATTAATTGAGACTAGTGAGTAATTTGCTTGAATATTCCCTTAGCTTGGAGCTGAGCTGGGAGCCCGGGCCATCAGCCATCTGGAAGAAGTCAGTGATGAAGGTATTGTGGCAATGGCAAGAGCCAAGTGTGCTGCTGTCCTTCTGCCAACAACAGCCTACATGCTAAGGTAAGCCCTAGAGTGAAGGGAAACTTCTGTAACTGCAAATCCATGTGTGCGGTTTGAGGGAGTTTTAATCCAAAAGCAGAAGTGTGTATCTATGCCTTAAGGATCAGTCCGGGTCAGTGAAGGCATTCACACATACAGGGAGCTGAATGAGCCTCCCTCCTTATGTCTTATTTCTGCTGGAAATCCTCAAAACTCTGTGAGACTGCTGAAAAGTCTCACAGTAGATTCAGAGTGGCTTTATGGCAACTATGGCTAAAAATTCCTAGAGAGTGTGTTTCCAATCCCCACTCCTGCAAACACCTACACAGATTAATCCAAGGACTGAACAATTTTGAAGTGGCTCTTCCAGATATTGAAGTTATTGGAAACATCTCTTGCATTATAATTGCTAAGTGAAAGGATCTCTAATGTATGCAGACTAAACTCATAGACTGAAAAAACAGGAAGGGCCTATTGCATTGCATGTGCCACTGCTCATATTTTGGAGCCTGTCTTTGAAGCTATAAGAACTAGAAAAAAGTTTTTTTTTAGAAGTGAAAATTTTCATCTTGTAAATTCTTAAGTGGCTGAGATCTGGCTAAATAACAGAACTTCAGTGGTCTGGAGCCTGATGGTTGACACTGGCTGGTGCCACATGCAGTTACTGCAAAAGTGGTGGCTCACACTTCCCATTTATGTTTGTCATAGGATAATAGGTAGGGGTGCAAGAGGAGGATTTGGGCTTTTACTTCCATAAGGATCAGTGTAACTGAATGCATGAATGTAGCCAAACTGAGAGATGACTTTTACCCTTGTAAATCATTGTATGATAACTAAGCAAATTGTACTGATCAGTTTATTTTTCCCACTAGACTGAAGCAACCTCAAGCTAGAAAAATGTTGGAAGAAGGTGTTATAGTTGCTCTTGGCAGTGACTTTAATCCTAATGCATACTGTTTTTCAATGGTAAGATAATCCTGATACTGAAACCATAGAATTATGAAATTTCTTACTAGTACAACTTGTGTGTAGGTCTTGTACACTTTGTGGCTTCATGTGTACAAGGAGAGCTGCCTGCCCCATGCAGACAGCTGTCTCTGTGTGTGTGTGTGTGTGTATTGGTAGTTTTTGCCAGAAATTCTTGAACCAGAATGGGTTCCATCCTTCATATGCACTGACAGGCCTATTCAAAATGCTCTCAAAGCTACTGATTTCAGAGTTCTCATTTTGGATTTGGCAAAATTTATGTTGTGCAAAACAGCTCCTTCTGTTGTGCAAGGAAAAAGGAGAGTGCTTAGGGATTTGAAGCATAAACAGCTTTGTGTTGTTGGAAACTCCCATTATGCCCTTCCTTGCCTAGCCTATGGTGATGCACCTGGCCTGTGTGAACATGAAGATGTCAATGAATGAAGCACTGGCAGCTGCCACCATTAATGCAGCTTATGCTCTGGGCAAATCAGACACACATGGCTCCTTGGAGGTCGGCAAGCAGGGGGATCTTCTTATCATAAACTCATCAAGGTTTGTTCTTCCACTGGCATTTGAAATGTGCTTTAACCTTAGTTATCTTCACTGAATAAAGGGACACTGGTAGCATTTCAGACCCACTTTCATTTTCCTTAATTACTCCAGTGGAAAATAAAGCCTAAGGCTTTGGGGCAGTTATTACAAGTAATCTGTGCCTAACTAAAAATTACCTAGAGATAATATGTGTTTGTTTTGTGGAATAAATTCTCTACTGATAGACTCACGGTAAGAGTGAGTGATAGACTCACGCAGTGAGACAACATGTAGATATGGAATAGTGTTTTCCCATTTTCAAGCAAATCTTATAAAATTGCTGGGTATGCTGGGCATGTGACCTGCTCTTATGCAAGTTCATATATTCTTAAACATCTTGTCTTTTTAGGTGGGAGCACTTGATTTACCAGTTTGGTGGACATGACGCATTGATCAACTACGTTATAGTTAAAGGAAAAGTCATCTATGAAAATGAGAGGTGTGAGGCAATGGGCAGTTACTGAGAGAAGGAAGTAGTTTAGTGAGCTACTAAAATCAAATTAGGATGGAGTATTTCAAAGCAACAGACAAATCAGATTTGTATTTACTGGTAAATTGTTTGCCTGCTCACCTTACTCTTATTCAAATAAACCTTACCAAGCATTACCCATTTGGTGCATCTCCATGTCCATTGTCCTTCTCTCCAGCACACTAAACAATTTCTAGTTGTATCCATCTTAAATAAGACAGTTTCAAAATATGTTTTCCTATACAACCAATCTATAATATTATAATATTTGAAAATAACCCAAACAAACTGGCAATGAATAAACAGAGTTTGGATCCAGGTAAGATTTACTGGGGAAGGTGATGCTAAGTAACCTGTGACAGAGGGCCAGGGGCTCAGGCATGCACATTTGGGATGGCCCTTGGCTGTGTAGGCAGAAGATCACATGCAGTGTCATAGAGATGTTGCACCTAATTTTATTTATTCTAGGTTGAATCTGAAATAACATGAGATACATTTGTTTGTGGAAGTTTGAATGTGATTCTGGTAAATTAAGTATGATAACTTTTACCCAAAGCCACGTTGAAACTTAGGAGCCTAACTTTTAAAAAGTGCTCTTTCATTTATCTTTCAACTACTCCTTCCCCCCGCCCTCGCTTGTAACATCATTTAGGAATGCAGTATGTAGAAAAAAGGATGATGATACAGCTCTGGATAATTTAGGCTTTTGCAGTATTTAAGCAGAGGGTCTGGGGTAGGAGGGTCTCTGAAAACCCATGGACTAAGTATTTTTTTCAAATTTTCAAATGGATGGTGGCTGCAGAAGCAAAAGGGATTTACTTTCTGAAGTAAAGAATGAAAGTGCACCTGACAAGCATGAAGAACTTCACAGCAAAAATAGTTATTGATATAAGCAAGTGACATAACTTGTGATACAGAGCAGAGTGCTTTAGTGAACCAGACCCTTGAGGAAGGACAATGGTCTCATTCTGATTAACAGGTATTTGAAAGCCATCACAAACATGCATGAGCATTATTTTGACCTCCTGATCTCCTCGAGCCTTGGACACATCTGTTAACACCCAGAATCTGCAAGCCATCCTCTGTAGTATCTTTCTTTGTGCTTTATTTGATCCAGGCTAGCCAACCAAATCAGATTTTAAAACAATGTAATAGCATTCCTGCCACCTGACGTGTTTGCCTGCAAGCAGATGTTGTACCAGATGTGGATGTGGAACTTTGTTTTTATGAAGCTTGAAAGAACATCCCAAGTATGTGATTGCACAGTCCATTCTGCCCAAGACAACCTTCATAAATAATGTTTATACAGGGATTTGGGAAGGCTATCAGGGAAGGAGCACAGGCATCTCTCAAATGCAGGGTGCAGGCAGAGTGGTGCCTCTCAGCCCTGCACAGGCACAGTGCAAAACCTGAGTCCACTGTGCTGCAGTGTGTGCTGGGGATCCCTTGGTCCCACAGCCAAAGGCAGAGGTGAGTGGGAAGCAGGGCCCAGAATCTCTTCTCTGAATGCTCAAGGCATTGGCTTGGGCATTTGGCAACCTGCCAGGTTGGCAGCAGGCAGGAGCCCTCTCCTCAGGGCACAGTTACCATGCCAGGTGTCAGATGCTCAAAGGCAGCCCCACAGTGGAGCTGCCCCTTGCAGCATAGCCAACAGCCTGGGGAGGCTTTCAGCTTGTGCTGAATGCCCCTCAGCCACATCAGTACTGCCCTGTCATCACTGCACCATGAGGTGAAATCCATGTCCTGGTTCTTGCCTTGCAAAACAAAGCCTGTGCCAGAGGTCAGTGCTGTGACACAGAGCACACTGACTCGTGATCCCATTGTGGGGACAGGGCCCCCGGCAGACAGGCAGAGACCTGGGGAGCCACGGGAGGGTAGGTCTTGGTGCTATTGCCTCAGCACTGGTTCACATGCACTAGTCCTACACCTCCTCTTCTCCCTTTTCTGGCCCCTGTGTCACCTGTCCTACTTCCAACTTAAGCTTTTGCTTTACATTTTCATCATCACACAAGTGACAGGAAAATAGATTGCTACAACTATATGTGAAGCCCCAGTTTATTGATTGCAGGTGTGGGCCCATAGCTCTTGGAAAGCTGCATTAAATGTAGTCCATCACCAGAATATAAAATATTTGTTCTGGAGCAGTGATCTCCATAGCACATTCCTATGCACACAGCTCTTCTGATTTGTGAAGCACCTACTCTAAAAATGCTCCTGTTATACAAGAGCCTATACCTCACATATGATCTGCAAAAGAGACTAAGTAAGTGTAAAGATAAACTTGCTTGTGGCAAAATGAAGGGGGTCACAGCAGTTACCCAAGGGGGGAAAAAAAGGTAAGAATATCAAACTTAGGCTGTTTGGTATCATTGGCACAGATGGAGAGAAAACAAACAAAATGTTGACAAAACAAATACAGGTTTCATTAGGAGTCCGAATGATTTGTATTCAGAAGTTCATGAAATTCAGTGAAAACCACACTATCATGACAAAGTTGTCTTTTACACATGAGGAAAGCAGTGAGACTTTTCTTTACTATCTATTTGTGCTTCTGAGCTCGACAGTCAGGTCCTCTGGGTCGCCTGGAGAAACCACACTGAGTGTGAGTGGAATGGCCATGCTCAGGTGAGGCTCTGGAAAGGATCTGCTCTCTTCCAGAGGATCACAGCTCAGAGCTCATTCTGATGCCTGTGGTCATGACTATCATCTGCACTCATTCTCAGGGAGAAAGCTGTAGGTGAAATGGGTCTTGATTCAGGGATGTGTTCCCTCCTGTACTTTTCAATGTAAGGGTAGGCCACTTCCCACACCTGTGGAACAAGAATGTGAAATAGCAGTCAGAGGCAAAGAAAAAGTCAGCTAAGACATCAATGCATGAGTTCAGGAAACCCTGAAGAAAAGTTATTGGGTGGGATATGCTGTATGGGAGGAGCAGAACTAGACAGGCAGATAGAGCAAGGTTTAGGGAAGAACATGTGGAGGGAGCTGAAAAGGCATGGGAAAGGATACAGCTCCAAGGGGACAAGGTGAAAGGACTCAAGGCAAAAATACTTTGTCTTGTCTTGTTACCAGGCTAATGCTCTGTGTGCAATAGTTGGGAGAGGGCCACTGTCACTTGCTACAAAACTACTTGGCCATGAAGAGGGTTGGGCAGCAAAAACAGCAGATGGCATGGACAAAGAAAAAGGGTTCTAGACAGTCCTGCACAGAAGCCAAAAGCCAGCACTCACCTTCTGCTCCACGAGCAGCCTGTGAGCTGCTTCAATGTCGGGGGCCATGAAGCGATCCTTTATCCAGGGCCTGCGAGGAGACATTGGGCAAACATTAACCCCACTGGCAGCAGCTGCTCTCCATGCAGGCAGCCCCTGGGGAACGTGTTTGCCTGCTCTTACCTCACCACGGAGCGCACAAGGTCGTAGACCTTCTCCAATGGCGTGGTGGTTCTCAGAGGGCGGAGGAACTCAATGCCCTGGCAGGCGGCGAGCAGCTCGATGGCCAGGACTGGGAAAGCAGAGCAGCCCAAGGGATGTTGGCAGGCACAACTCTAGGTGAGGCTTCCTGTCTAAAGCTACCCCTGGCCTTTGTGCTCACTCATACCATATGGTTCAGGCAAGGTGAAAAACCAGTGGGTACACACCCCCAGAGAGACAGCCCAGAGCCAGGATCATTCCATGGGTGATGCTGGTGGCAGTGCCAGTCACAGCAAGCAAATTTTGGGTGCTGTTGTACAGACCTTTCAAGTGTACAGGAACTCCTGGTCACCAGAATCTTAAATCCCTAGGAATCTCTTCCAGGGTAACTGGAATACTCAAATTAATGTTCATCATAAATCAGAAAGCTTCTTTTGCACTGAGAAAAGAGGAGCCTGAGTTAAAAAAAAAAGTTCTCCCTCTAAAGCTTGCCAGAGCCCACATGAAAACACCAGGAAAATGACAGCACTTTGGAAGAGAGTCTTCTGTCTTGAAAAGTTTGCATTCTATCTGCCTACCTTACACCTGATCATTATTGGTATTAGCCCCTCATTTTCATGATTCAAGGTCTGTTATGAAATCAGAATTTTAATTTTACCTTGTTCCACATGTTCAATAACTCTCAAAGCTTTTCTTGCAGCCCATCCTCCCATGGACACGTGATCCTCTGTAGCAGCACTGGTTGAGAGAGAATCCACAGAAGAGGGGTGGCACAAGGCTTTGTTCTCAGACACTGCAAAAACCCAGCGCAATGAATGAAGGACAGAATAGGCAGGAGACAGCAGAAGCAATGGACAACATGGAGATAAGAACCTGCCCACCACCTTGGGTCCAACTACTGCTCCTCTTTTGAGGACACATCAGTATTTTACCTGGACTGAGTAATTTGTAATAACCACCTTGAAAACTACCATTGCCTCTGAAAACACTAACCAACAGCAGTCTTTAGATGCAAATATTAACCAAATACAGAATGACAGCTCACTCTTCACTCCCTTATGTCCAGTTTGAGTTGCTGTGGCTCAAAGGCCTGGAGGAAACTGAAGCAGAAGAGCAGACGGCATAACTGAAACACAAGCCTGGTTCTGCCTGTTGCTCTGGGGCAACTCTCTGTAAAGAGCATTGGCTCCCTCTGGTTTGGTCACAAAGATCACCCCTCCCCTGCTTTCAAGAATACAGCTAGAGATCAGCATCTGGTCTGCTCATTGCAGCTGAGGCACCTTCAGAACTTCCTCTAGAAAGATGGGGAATGCAATATAAACCTTCTCCCTCCCTCACCTCATAAGGCAGCCCATGTCCCTGAGGGTGACACACTCCAGCTTTGAAAGCCAGGTCCAAGATCTGGAATAAATTCTCATGCTGCATCCAAAAGCAACAGGCAAATGGCTGCAGAAGAGGCCTTAGGCACCACTCAATGACAATTTGAGGTTGAGAACTGCTCTTTAAAAGAGAAGAAATGCAGTCTGCATTCACAGCACTCTGGCTGCACTCAGCCTTTTCTTTCTGAAGCCCAGCGGGATGCTGTGTAACGCTCTCGCCAAATTAGCGGCTTCAGAAAAGCCACAGGAGCAACAGAGAGGTGGTGACACCAATTGCAAATAGGCTGGAGTGACAGCCTAGG